ACACACCATTCACTCACACACTGACACACCATTCACTCACACACACACACACCCACACACCATTCACACACACACTCACACACCATTCACTCACACACTGACACACCATTCACTCACACACTGATACACCATTCACTCACACACTGACACACCATTCACTCACACACTGACACACTCACACACCATTCACACACACACTCACACACCATTCACTCACACACTCATACACCATTCACTCACACACACACACAGTCACACACCATTCACTCAAACACGCACACAGTCACACACGGGCAATTTAGTAACTTCAATTCACCTTGTTTTCACCCAGTTTTCTAGGCTTAAAACTTATCTGTTCTTGATAGCCTTTCCAGACTTTTAAAGTTATTTCCATTTATGTCTTTTGTTGCTGTTTTGTTGCTTGTTTTTCATTGCTTTTTTATGATTCCTGTACAGCACTTTGGTGTAATGGTACAACTGCTGTAAATGTGCTATAGAAATAAACTTGACTCGACACATTTTTAGACTGTAGGGGGGGAACTGGTGTACCTGAAGAATGACATCGGGAGAACATTCAAACTCCACTCAAACCCTGGTCTCAGATGTGAGGCAACGGTGCGAACCATAGCTAAATGCAGTGCAAGATTTGTACAAGCATAGCTTACTCTAGGTTGTTTTTTTAATGGAGAGTGGGTGGGGGCAGGTTTCAGGCCTGTTGTGAAACACAAACCAGACTCTTTTCGGTTGTTCTGCCCTGCTACAGCCCAGCTGGGAGAAAGCTGTGTTTCAGACTGATACCCCGTCGCTCCTTCTTTTATCACCAGCGTCTACGCTCTACACCCATCACTTCTTCCCATCTATATTTGCTGTCATTCCTTCATTCCTTCCTCATTCATCATTTCATCGCACCTCATATTGACCTGTCAATCCTTCAGGGGTAAACACGACCCCCGTAGTCACACCGGGGGAACTGTGCTCCCATCTGGAAAGAATGTAGGATTTCTTTAGCTAAAAAGTGACCTAAATCTGTAAATTCACCTGTCCGACAGGAAATATTTGTGGGGGTAAGTTTAGGGTTGAGGGTGAACAAGCCAGCCCGACGTCTGGACCTATCAAGGTTTTCATGCCTTACATCGGATTTGACTGACTACCAGCTGTCAAACCTTATTCCGCTCGTGAATCTCGGCCGCACCATTAGTCCGGCGTGTTTATTGTTCTCGCTGACGGCGCTTTGGCAGCGTTTGGGAAAAAGCAAGATTCATGCCCAAGTGTGGAGCTGGACTGGACTTTGAGAATAAACAGCCACACTGAAGGGAAAAGATGCACATGACCGGCCATGTTCAGTCGCACACGATAGAGACCACAGGATGGCAGGTAAGGCCTGTTCGAGCACAGGCTTTATGAACAGCTCAAAGAAAATTATGTGTAAGCTCCGGATGGAGAAGGAAACGTATTTACCCCCTGTGATGCTTTATCAAAACGACAACTTGTGATGTCCCCAGAATACTTACCCATCATAGGAACTTCTGTTTTCAATTCAGTGTGATTAATATCATTAATATAAATTTTAATACTAATTCATTAAATCGGTTACACGGATGAGTATTAAAAGTTATGTTATTAATGAATAAATAAAACCTCAAAAAAGGGATCTTTGTGTTTTGGGCTTGCACTGAAAAAAGGAAAATGGTTTACACGCCGTGAGAATGATGTGTGGTTCAGGGATCATTTAACAGGCTCATTTAATATAGGTACAATTCCACAGCAAGCTACCTGAAATCTCCAGCAATTATTTTTTGGCTAAATTTACAGATGTTTCACCCCCCTACTCTTTTTGTGTGTCGGAAAGAGAATCTATTTTCCATCTATTTTTTGATTTCTGCCATGAAATTTCTATGCTTGTCTTTAAGGTGTTTGGTCAATTGATTGATATTAAGAAATCAAATGGTTCTTTTTGGCATCTAATTTCAATGACAGACTTATTGATGATATAGTTAGGGTCTTGTGTTTACTGGGCAAGTTTCATATTAATAAATCTCGAGTTCTTTCCAGAACCCCCAACTTTATCCTATTTTGCCAGTAGATTATATTATTTTTTTGATTCTCTGCAATTAATTTGTAATAATAAGAAAGCCAGAAAAACAGCCCAGATATTAGAAAAAAACTATTTGTTAATTGAATAGAGAAATCACTTTAGATTAATGTGTAGTGGGTGTGCTCATCGTTGTCTCTGTGTTATTGTACTGTTACTGTTTATGGTTTGCCTTCTAAGTTTGTCTACAGTACAGCGTATCCCTTGTAGTATACATTTTATGTTTGTTTTTTGTTATTAATGTTATAGATGTGTTGTATCAAACGCATTGTATGCTGAATTGTTTCTATTTAATGAAAAAAAAAAATCAACAACAAAAAAATAGAATAATACACTGCCACACAGTGGTCAATGTGGTTAATCGTATTCTGGAAGGTTATGTGTAACATCTCATCCAGGAAGTCCTCCAACTTGCACCCTGTTATTCACAGAACCCTGCATCCCAGGTTGGATAAACAGTTACTAAAATGAATGGATGGGTGATTGGCATATTACATTTGTTTTTGTTTTTTTTGTTTTTTGTTTTTTTTGCATTTTGCATTTTGTAGAATCAAATGAAAACGATTTGTGATTGTCCATAGAGTCCAACGTAGCTCTGAAATTTTAATTTCATCCCCCAGATTTATTTATCCGCTTTTATCGAGTTATTGCATTCAAAGAATGGTTTTTAATTCCTTAGTTGTTGCATATGTTCTTTAAATTGTGTTTTGGGTTTGGTAGTTTGGATAGATAAAAACATTTGCTGGATTGAACTGAAGTTAGAATTTGTGTGGTTTGTGATAAAAGTTTAAACCAAAGGTTTCAGAAATGACAGTTGTTTGTGCTGCGTTTGTACAGTCCAGCCCGGAATTATTCATACCCCTGGCAAATTTTGATTTAAAGTTACTTTTATTCAACCAGCAAGTTTCTTCTTGATTGGAAATGACACAGGCGTCTCCCAGAAGATAATAAGACGATGTACAAGAGGCATCATTGTGGGAAAAAATATTTCTCAGCTTTTATTTGCATTTGGACAAAAAGTGGCATGTCCAAAATTATTCATACCTCTTTCAAACTGTCACAGTCTATGGGAAAATCCAGAGTTCTATACCATTCCAAATAGTTCAAGCTGTTCCTAAGCATCCTAATTTCCCTGATTCATTGGGAACAGCTGTTTTAAACAACTCAACAGGTGAAAAACAGCAGCTCTCTGCAGTTGGTTTGTAGACAGTCATGGCAAAGACAAAGGAGCTCTCTGAGGACCTGTGGCTGTGCATTATTTTGCAGTGGCCCATCCAGAGTCCTGACTTAAATCATCATTGTACATCATCTTATTATCTTCTGGGAGATGCCTGTGTCATTTCCAATCAAGAAGAAACTTGCTGGTTGAATAAAAGTAACTAAGTCAAAATTTGCCTGGGGTATGAATAATTCTGGGCTTGACTGTATGTTGTGCATTATGTTTTTCTGCTTAGGAATTCCCCTGTAGAAGTGACACAAAAAGCAGACGAGAGAATGAAAAACAGCTTTTCGAGGAATCTAAAACGGATACGCTGAAAGCGAACTTAAAAGACGCTAGATCACAGCGATGCAGCTGGTGTGAGATAAGGACCTTATGATGGGAAAACCTGTGATGGACATAAAGGAATTCAAGCTCAGGCTGGGTGTCTTAGGTTCCTTGAAGATTAAGCGATGGGAGTTAGTCATGGTTTAACAAACGTAAGTTTTATGATTATATTAAAGGTTACAAAGGCAAGTCAAGTCACAGCTAGAGGATAACTGTTGTTTAATGTTGTTAAATGGGATTAAAAACAGTTAGTAGAACCGAAAGCAGAATAATCTGTGTTTATGATAGCAATTGAATAGAAATAAGACGAAAGGGCTGTTACAAAAGAAGTATGTAATTGTGTGTTTAAGTATGAGAAAAACAACCATTCAGAACTCCACAGTCTAACTGTGAAACTAGGTTGGGAGAGGCACCTATATGGCTGCTCACACACACATAGATATGGCAGGAAAAAGCCAACTCCATATCATCCCCCCCCCCACTGAGCCACCATGCTGCATTAAAAATATAACCTGTTGCCAGTAACTGAGGCACTGCAGAGTAACATCTCCAGGGTTGTGGGTTAAATTAATTAATACATTTAATTAAATTAATACAGTTCCCATAATTTGTGATTTGTGTAAATATATGCCTTTCAATGGACCTTAATATATAGTATACAGCTAGATACTTCAGTCATTCTTGTGGGGAAATTGTCTTTTCACTTGTTCAGTCTTTCTCTTCACGAGACACATACATAAAGGAGAGCAAGCCTTGGGTTCTATAGAGCAGGGTTTACCAGTGTCCAGCACTCCATGGGGGCTTGGCTTAAGGGCCCAACAGCGACATTAAGTTTTTGGTCAAAGGATTCGAACCGGTGACCTTCCGTTCAATGGCACACACTGCTGAGCCACATACAGTCCTCCCTGCCTTGTGCCCTGAGTTTCCTTGGATACACTTCAGGCTCACCACAATCTTGATCCGTCATTTGGCTAATTGCGGGACATAATATTTGGTATTATTATTAATTATTATAATATTATTATTAATATTATCTAGGGCAGTGGTGGCTTGATGGTTAAGGAAGCGCACTTGTAATTGAAAGATTGCAGGTTCAAATCCCCAACCAGCAAGGCACCACTGAGGTACCCTGAGCAAGGTACCACCCCCAAGCACTGCTCCCTGGGCGCTGAATTAGCTGCCCCCTACTATGTCACGAAAGTCACATATGGGTTAAATGCAAAGGACACATTTCGTTGTTGCGCACTGTGTGATGTGGTGTGTTGACAATGACCACTGATCTCTAAATTCTATAGTTGTGAAAAATCACTTCAGGCGGACAGAGGTTACGAACTTCTTTTATTCTCTTTGAGTCTCCGTAGGTACCACTTCCATCACTTCCTGTCGCGGTCACGTCCGGTGAATGTCGCAGCTAAGCGGAGAGCTAAGGGAAGTTCATCTGTGGAGTTCTGTATTTACGTCTTGCCATTACATCGAGGCTAGAACATGACCCAGTCTTTGCTCCGAATCTAACCATAAAAAAGACAAACTGCATTGTCTTTTATAACGCTGCGATCTTTATGCATACGTACCGTCCAGTTCGTGCGGATTAGGAGGTTTGAGGGCGAGTCTCTCTGGGTGTTTGGCTAGTTAAATAACTAGCTAGCTAGCCGGCTAGCCAGAGGGAACTGTTTTGTTATTTAGCAGGTAGTAATAGTTAACATCCATATTGCTTGAGGTAGGCATGGCAACTAGGCGCCTGACTGATGCCTTCTTATTAATGCGGAACAATGCAATCCAAAACCGGCAGATTTTGGCTGAGCAAGTGAGTACACACGACCCCCGTCGTGATCTGAGTACACGTAGCAATGCTGCGGTGAGTCTAACGTTAATCGTCTGGATTGTTTTGACTTTTTGTGTGCGTGTGTCGTGTGTGTTAATTTGCTAGTCAGCTAGGTGATCCTTCTTTAATATTAGGTAGCGAGATCGTTGCTGCTCCTCTTAATGTTGTTAATCTCCTGTTCAACGCTGTGCTGCTAAGTGGCTTGCTGTCAGCCTGACAAACTAAATTATTTGTTGGTTCTGGCCTGCAGGGATAAACGCATAAAAGCATCGTGCCTTTTTGTTATTGGGCTGTATGTTATGGATGATCCAGGGTTATAGAATACACCTGCTTTTTCTAGTTTAAATATACTATGTTACTTGAGTGTTTGGCAATAATAGGAACAAATGCTTGTTGCATATGATTGCATAATATTCCTGTACATCTAAATTGCTTAACTGTCGTTTTTTTCATCTGATAACGGTTTTATCGGTTAATTGCACTGAACATTTACCTGTTCGGGTCAGATACATTTCCCTAAGGTACATCCCGCTCTCCTAGAATTTGAACCAGCGATCCGAGGGTTACGGGTCCATAATCGTTAATTATTATGCTTCTGGTTGCATTCTGTGATATTTGTATTTTATATGTTTTTAAGGGGAACTCAAGATTAAAGGTTTTGTTGTGTAACAATAGTAATAAAATAACAAGTGTATTTTAAATCAGACGCAGCGTTTGGGCTTGAGTCGCTGGTCACAGATGCGGCTTCCAGGCCCGCTGTTAAGGCTGATTTACCGGACGCGTCTTTCAGTATTTTAAGAAATAGACGTCGTGCTTATTCTCCGGTTATTTTGAAATAGTCCGTATGATACGTATTAAAGTGCCCATGCGTTTCATTTCAGCGATAGGATTCAAGTTGACATCAGCTGCCTATCCATTTATCCCTGTATTGCCAGGCCTGTCTCTCGGATATTTCTCGATTTTACGAGTCTCCTTAAGTGTTCCCAGTTATCTTTGCGCTGACGCAGTTAATAGTTTGATCAATCAACCGGCAATTTCGACGATTTAAAGTGGAAATGAAACATCACCTCATTTTTTATGGCCATCAGTCTGAATGAACGTGTGCATCAGTAATGACAGATTTGAGTCAAAAAGCAAAAATGACAACTCTGTAATAATACTTTACGTGCAATAATGCAGTCAGTCGTGTTAGCAGTTACAGGGTATAGTTTAGGTGTACTGTTACGTTACTATTAAAATGCAAAACGCAATAGCAAATATTTACTTGTGTTTTTCCTTTGTATACACAAGAGAAGAAAATTCCTTATATAGTGGGGTGGTAGGCAAACTCACAGGTGCATATAGAGCAGCAGGTAAATATGCCTGTGATTGATTCAAACAGCAAAGCATTGTTAAGGATATGCACTAAAACCTGTTAAGGTAATGGGTTAAGTTTTGAAGCAGTAGAAATGGGAGATTCTAGAATAAACCAGGACTTGTGTGGTGTTAATGATGCGAAGGTTTGCTGGTGGACTTCTCTTGAGGCTTCTCTACTGTTATGTAGTGATGACTGAGAGTAACGGTGGTGTTTTGTCCTTGGGAAGGTTCTTACATTCCCATGCTGTGTGTTGGTGAGCAAAGTACAGTAACAATGTACCAGTGGTCCACATTTTTATTTGGGAAATAACCACATTTCTCAGAAATCATAAATGTGAACATCGGTTTAGTTTCTGCTGATCAGTGTACTTAAGGGAAAATCAGGGGACCTGACCCTGCCAGTGCAAGGCAAACTCATACTCATGAGGAAAATGTGTAAACTTCATTGAGAGAGAAAATTACTAGACTTAGATTTCCAAACAAAAGGTGTACAGTAAAGGACACTAACAGAAGTTTTGACAGGCATGTTTACCATGCAGTTATGCTCATCGTTGTATGTATGTCTTACTCTATTTACATTTTGTATATCTATGCCTTATGTGCTGTGTTTTTTTTTTTTAACTCTTTTGGTCCTGGATATAAATTTATGTTAGGAATAGAGGTGCGCCAATCAAGATACTTACTCGTTTAGTTTTTGGCAGTCTCTAAAAACATAGCTCCTATTTCGTGTTAAATCTATTTGTACAATCAATCGCACAACAGTTCTTTGCCATTTTAGATGGCAAAAAAATTTTTTTTTGAGGGGTGGGAGTAGTGTTTAATGACAAATCCAACTAAACAAAGCGCACACAATTTTGTGAGACAACGCGAGTAATATGAAAAAAGGCAATTTATGATTTTGGAGTTGCTGTTTTGCGCACTTGCTACCGCTTGTGACACAGGGGCTGCTATCGCAGTGTAAGTGACGCTGCTATCAGTGGGAGAAAAATTGTGGGACGTTTTAGGCATTCGCCACTTTTGTATCCTCGTTGATAACCTTAAAACAAGGTGTGCAAATGAGGTGGAACAGTACGTTATGTCTGTTTCCGGTAGCCTAATTAAAGATATTTTGGTATACATTTTTAAAACTGTATTTACTAGCTTAAAAATATTAATATATAAAGTATAAATATATATTATACATTTATTATATTAAAATAGTAAAGTAAAAAGAGCTCTTATATCGGAATCTGTATCCGCATCGGCAGTTGTGTATCGGAATCGGATCGTAGTCATTAAGTCATTAAGACCCTTAGGCGGTAGGTTGACCAGGTGTGTCTATGTCCCCATAATCCACTTTATTTCAGCATTGTAAATTAAAATTTTATCATGGAATGGTCAATGAGGCTGGTCTTTCATTTCCACTTAACTGTTTATTCAGTATGTAGCAGCTAGACGTGCAAAGGGAACCTTTGTAAGGGTTTTTTCGTGAACCTTTAGTACCAAGTGCTCATTTTAAATCGTGGACCTCGGCATAAATTTATTGCAGTGATAAGGCAGCTGCAGGCGTGTGGCAGGCTGAATTGCCCAAGTCAAATACAGCAGCACCGTGTTCTGATTGCTCTTCATTTAGGGATGTGAGATGGGATTTGCCTCTTTTGTTTTGCTGCTGTTATCTTAATATGCCTGCTTGTTATATATATATTGCATGCAGTTTGCCTGTTTTTTTGGAATCATGCTGATGTGTGCTTGCTATGAGTGTTTCAGTTTGTGTTTGCTGGATGTTCAGACCACCATAACAATCTGTTTTGTTTTGTTCCTATATAGATATCCTTTAAAAATTGGAGTTATCTAATTTGGATGCAAACTTGAAATAGGTGGATATTATGATGTTTGGGGGCAGGCTACAGTTTACAATTGTAAACATTCCAACAGTGTGGGCTTTCAATGTTATTCAGAGCGTAATTTATTTTTTCACTTATTGGATGTCATTTTGAAAAGTTACCACCTCAGAAAAGTTTCTTGCACTACAGTAATAATGCAGACTAAATTTGGAGGGCAAGCACTTGCTTTATATGATAGATGCACGGTAGCGGTTTACCTGAGGCCCTTACTCAAAGTGATTGCCCGCATACCTTAAATATTTTCTGGCTGGTGCACATCTTCAGTCTCCAGAACATGCGTTTTGGTCATGGAGCCTCAAGATGTCACTGTGAGAAATAATGCTGTCTGGTGTGAGCTGGCCAGTTGCAGAACTTTCTTGGGCTTGCTGCAGATCCTTTTTGTTAAAAGCTTCCTGTACCTTATCAAACCATTCCGAATTTCTATTTTCAGTCCATAATGAAACTGTGCCATTTCAGCTTCCCAAGTTACTTCCTCAGTCTTCTGCAGTCACGATTTTAGTATTTCATTAGTGCCATCCATGTTTTTTTGCTCGCATTTTAATTGTCTTGATGTCTTGATTGTGAATGAATATATCATGACACTAATAAAAACTATCCTTTTTAGAACTGCCAGTCACAAGCAACTGTTATACTTCAGTCATGATTTGTCGCTATATTTGATTATGTGCTCACCTTTGTCAGTTTGCCTTGCTGTAAAACCTTCTTGCTGCAAAACTGCTGGTCTGTCTGTGTGATCGTCAATTTTGCTGTTATTCAGGCAGAAAATTGTATGTGTGAGTGAGTGCGTGTGTGTTTTTAAAACCTTTTCTTAAAATTCAAGTGGCCACAAGTTACTTTGCTAAATGCAAATCCAACTGAGTTGTTTCTGTAAATCAAATAAAAAGTTGGCAGTATTGATTTAATACAGATTTAACTGTACTAAATAGACAGTTTTACATAAATTTCCAGTTCTAGTGCCTGGTTACTTGGTAGTGCCCAGAAGGTTATTATCATATCAATTTACAGAAACAAATTTGTGGCAATACTTTGCTTTTTCCATCTTTCTCTCACTCTCTTTTTCTGCACTTGTATTAATCTGCTTCTTACCCCCATAAGTGCTTCTCTCTGCTTTAGGTGTTTAGTCTTTTTCAAAGGGAGGTGCCTCAAGAATGTTGTTTTGTCTGTGCGAGTTCCACTTCGTATGATCTTATTCTGCAGACAGTATTTACTATTTATGTAAATGTCAGTAACCCAAGGGCAGTAGTTGTTAGAGCTAGTTGTTAAACTTGGACTTTTACTTTTAGGGAGTACAGTGGTAAGTTCTGCCAATATTTATTGAAGAAAAAAAATCTAAATATTGGCTACAACCTTTTCAGAACATCAAACTAATTTACTGTATCTTTTTTTGTAAGCATTTGTAACATAAATTTTTATTTCATAATTTTTTTAATCTTATTTTTTTTATGCATGGTTGCCTTGGGATTTTTGAATCATGCCATATGATCCATCGTTCAGTGTCACTGAGGTATCAAAATGAAATGGGCTTTCCTATCAGCTCTGGGCAGAGGGGTTCATAACGAGCTTCGGCATTAATAAACCAGCCCTTTTGGTTGGCCAGAACCCCGCATGCATTTCTGCCCCATAAAAGTATAGCTGAATAATCCTCTTTGGCTCCAAAGCTGTGCGATTAAAGGTCACGAGTTGAAGTGGCAGCTCTTTTTCCACTGAGCGCCTGTTTCATTTGTGTGTAGACATAATCATCACCATCATCTTTTTTCACCGAGTGCATGCCTCACTCGTGTGCTGACATCACGGTTTTGCACGGGTGCCGGTCTGTGCCGTGCCGTGCACGCTGCACCCCGTGTGCATGCGTGTTCGCGCCACATGTCCGTCTCTGCACAGCGCCTTCAGCTCTCCTGCTCTCACACCTGTCCCCCTCCCCTCGCTTATCTCCCTCTCCCCACTGGATGGGCCTTTTGCTGGGATCCTCTAATCACAGGAGCTGGATGAGGTACTTTGACTCCCATGATTCTCGTAACAGTGGCAGTGTCTTTGACTCTCTCTGTTTGACTCTCTCTCTTTTTTTTTTTTAAATCTAGAACTACTGAAAGTATCATTTTGTGTTTATTGGCTTTTCTTTTGCTATGTCCCCAGTTTGTTGGTCCCTTTTTGTTTGCTTTGTTGTGTTTTGCTCGTTGGACAGTACCATTGTGAAATAGTTCAGGATGTCTTTTGAGTAAACCAGTGTATGTTTAAAAAATTGTTACTTTGCCTATTCCCTCCCCCCATTGTCTACTTCCCTTCTGTGTCAGCTGGTCGACGACCGCATGGCTCTGGTGTCGGGGGTCAGTTTGGACCCGGAAGCTGCTATTGGAGTCACCAAAAGGCTCTCGCCAAAGTGGGTGGATGGGGTGGATGAGGTAGGTGAGGAAGAAAGGTGTTAATTCTTAAAATGACAGGGATCAAAAGGTACATAGTAGGGACTAGTTTTTAACCATTTATGATGATTCACTTTTAAGTGAGCATTAGTTGTTGATTATAAGTGAGAATTGAATAGTTTGTCAAAAAAAATTTGGTTTTTTTTTGTTTGTTCCTTTTTTGTTTTGTTTTTTTTTGAGAAAATGTCTCGTGTGACCTTTAACCTGCCGTCACGTGCATCTGCCCGGCAGATTCAGTATGACATCACACGGATACGGCAGAAGATGAAAGAGCTCGCCAGCCTGCACGACAAGCACATGAACCGACCCACCCTGGACGACAGCAGTGAGGAGGAGCATGCCATCGAGATCACCACGCAGGAGATCACTCAGGTAAGGTGCCTCGCGGCTGCGGCCCGGCGGCGGTGGCAGCAGTTGTCCTCTGGCTCCTTCCAAACGGACGACCTGGCCTTCCCCAGATGTTCCACCGCTGTCAGCGTGCGGTGACCGGCCTGCAGACTCGCTGTGGCCACTGCACCCAGCAGGAGGAGCGGCTTCTCCGCAATGTGGTGTCCTCGCTGGCCCAAAGTCTGCAGGACCTGTCCACCAGCTTCCGGCACACGCAGTCCGACTACCTGAAACGTGAGTGCGGAGCCGCCCCTGCCCTGCCTTCATAGGCATCCTTCCACCTCCTCGTCGCCATTCTTTCTTACTTGGACGTTCTCCTCGCATGTTGGCTTTTAAATTCCTTTTATTTTTGTTTTTATGCAGGAATGAAAAATCGAGAGGAGCGGTCGAAGCACTTTTTTGACACGTCTGGCCCACTTATGGAGGAGGATGAAGACATGGCCCTGTATGATCGGGTGAGAGACAGCTCAGATTTACAAGACCTGGTGCTACTGAACATGTGCTATGGTTGCAATGTGTTAAATATTTATTATTTTGCGGTGTGACGTTAACTAGTTAAAAATAAAACTATTTTTCTCAGTTTTTAAACTGATATTCTGTATTTGAAAATATTTTAGTTGTAATGTGTATGAAATGTGTAGCTGTAATCCAAAAAATAGATCAATAAAGTATTCAAATTTTATGCCCATGTGACACTTTAATGGTGAAAAACTACTAAATTAGACACAAAAGACCTTTTTAAACATAGTTGAAAAGTAGCTTCTTTTGCTGTGCTTTGACTTCTGTTTCAAAATCAGAGAGCTGTGGCTAATGGACTGTCATCGCTTTTGTTCATGGGATGTCTCGTCCTACCAGGGATTCACAGACGACCAGCTGCTCTTGGTGGAGCAGAATACAGTTATGGTGGAAGAGAGAGAGAGGGAGATCCGGCAAATCGTTCAGTCCATCTCAGACCTCAACGAGATCTTTCGGGATCTGGCCTCCATGGTGGTGGAGCAGGTGTGTGGCTGATGTATCCTTGCGGTATGGAAAACTAATCTGGTGGGGATGTTTTCCACTTGACATTGACATTCATTTTGCCTTTTCATTGGGACCTAATGAGTGCTGGTATCAAGTTCAAGCCAGTTGATTAATGATTCAGACTGAGACTGGTTCCCTATTCTTAGCCATTAGTATATGAGTGAGCCAGTTAGATTCCTATCGCCTGGTTTTGATGAAATTAGTCAAATTCCCCAGTGAACCGACAAAGTTTGCGTGCTGGTTGAATGGAGAATGTTGGAAGCTCTGACATCAAATCTGTCCAGATAAACATTTTAGCGAAATATAAGTCATCATTTACTGAAAGGCTTCAGAAAACTTATATGGGCTGATCTCAAAAGAGGAGAAAATGGAACTTATTTAAATTAAATTGAATTTAAATTTTTTACATTTTTTATTTTATTTTTTTAAAAACAACTGTTGCTGTGGCCATACAAGTCGGTTTTTGCTCATGTTTATGGTGAACTTAACCTTGCAAACCAGCATTTTCAGGGACACAGTTTTGCGTCCAGTGGGGGGGGAAAAAAGATTTCTGAGATGTTACAGTTTAGCTGAATATTGTTTCCCACTCGTTGTCAGGGCACTGTACTCGACAGAATCGACTTCAACGTGGAGCAAGCCTGCGTCAAAACGGACGACGGATTGAAACAACTACAGAAGGTGAGGGGGGGGGGG